TGGTTGTCTTATATAGCGGAGGCCGATATCACGATCAAAACATTGGATTGATACTTCCGCACCGATTTGCCTGTTTGCCTAGCGGTCGTTTTCGCCTCCAGCGAACTCGAACCCGTGAAGCATTTTGCGGACGGACAGACATACATACATACATACATACATACAAACCGACACACAAAGTTACTGGTTTATAGAATAGAAGGATAACGCGAAGAAAGTAGAAGCTATTGTATCAGCTTCTACTTTCTTCGCGTTACTCAGTAGTATTTCAGATATGTCTTTTGTTCTTTGGAATTCTCACTGACACATCGTGTCTCCTGCTTCCTCATATATTAATTCAAGCGGCTATACTATTATTTTCCATTGGCTATTTTTGTTTATATGCCGTCTCGTACTTCTATGGAGATCTCTACAAACACTCAAGGCCGTTCAAGGTAGGCAATCGTCCATCGAATCTGGTATTTCAAAGCTTCGGATTTCATACGTTCTTCCTCTTTATTCTTTCCACATCGAATTATGTAGAAATAGGGTTATGTACTCTCAGCGATGTTCATGCTGGTATTTTGGGCAAATTGCTTCATGGTGCTTAACTTGAATAGAAATCCTGGATTTCATTTTGACACAACCCTGAACCACAACATATCCTGAGATATGCTTCAAACCCTTGAGATGGGTAGGCGTGGCTACGTACTTCAATCGGATGTGTGGGCAGCTGCGCTTTCCGTGAGATATTTCGGTCCTGAGACAGTTATAGCTATGCCTGTCTAAAATGCAAAACAAGGGCGACAATTTTGTCAAAATGGTATTGGTACGCAATCACGCCTACCGCTTCTGAAGGATGTAGAGTATATGTGTATGACTAGCAAGCAATTTTGGAACGGTTTGAAGTCTCCTTCCGTATTCGTCGCCTAGTTGAGTGAATTGGGACCAGACCACGTCGCACGCTGGGTAATCCCCTGAGGGCTCAGGGCACATGGTTGTTGGGGAATCCCCAATAGGGGGGGGGTCGTATTTGGCCGCCAGGAGAGGGGGTCGTATTTGGGCTGGGAAAAATTTATTTTGATAGTTGATTTTTCTCGCTTCACGGACGTTGTAAAGGGGGGTCGTACTTGGTCATTGTTGGGAGGGGGTCGTATTTACGTTTTGGCGTTGTAGGAGTGGTGGTTGACTTTTGGTGATTTTCCTGTTTCATGCGTACTATGCCCCCCCCCCCCGCTTCGACGGGTTGATTTGACGAGGAGGAACAGACTGCCGTATGAGGGGGGAGGGGGCGGGGCGGGGTCGCACCAACCCTCAAAAAATGGGATGGCCGTACAGAAACGGCTAAAATTCCTAACCAATGATGTGCCCTGGCTGGGTTCGTATTTGGTCGCTTGGTCGCTGAGGGAGGGGAGGGGTCGTAATTGATTAAAGAAAACTTTTTTGGTAGTTAATTTTTCCTGTTTCATTAGGGGATCGTGCTTTAGTTGTTTGAAGAGGAGGGGTCGTATTTGCCTTCGAGAAAAATTGTGATGGGGAATTGGGAAAGCTTTCCACTCGTTGTCGAATTTTCGCAGTTTTTCCCGTTTCTCACGTGTGAAAATTTTGGGGAGAAACTAGAAAATTTTCTAGTAATTCCCCGGGGGATAGGAAACTGGGAATATCCAGGAAAAAGATTGGCTGGACGGGGGAGCGGGGGAGGTCGTACTTTTCAAGAACTTCCCTCAATGGCGGGACGTGCCCTAATTGGGACAGCGACTCACTGAGCGATACGCCAACACCACTGTCGATCAACCGGGAAAGGGACCTTAGATGTTCTCTACAAGCCCTTCTGCCTGTGAAAAGCACTTGTAGACCAACTACGTGGGCATGGCTCTACTACAATTGTGCTACCGTGTCAAATGCGAATGACTGTAGCATACCCACCCAGTTTTTGAATTCAAGAAGACAGCTAATTTACTGTTACAATCTGTGACCCTGGCTCTCAGCAGTTGTTCAGTAACCTGAGGTGATGCTTAGCACATTAACAAGAGCTATCTCTTAAGTTTTGCTCTCAGTTGACCTTTACCTAAAAACTATGCCTTGACAGTGCCTTTATTTTTTTAGTCGATTCAATTCATTGAAAGGATGTGGCTGGCGATATTACTTCTTGGATTGGCCGCCTTCCAGACTTATCTGTTCTCGTCTGTAATACGATGTAGCATGTACATTTCGGTAAGTCTTCAGTAGACGTGGCAGGTGTCGTTGCGACCTTATCCAACAACGGCCAGTCATAGCATCGTAGGAAAACATAAGTCACCCTTCTCCCGCTGTGTTGGATTGTCCATGGAGATCCGTTTTTGTTTATTTTCATTTCTTTTTTCCTTGTGCATTCTATAATGTTTTAAGGATTCTTTGGGGATCAAAAAGAATGTCTAACGTTTCTTTCGCGCTCACGAAAGCGGGGAAAGCGGGGCTCGTTTCTGTGACCGCGTACATGACTCATACCCCCGAGTAGGTGAAAGAGAAGCGGAGTTCCAGCAGAGAATAGAATGTTCTAGCGCTGAAAGCTTCCACGGTGCCAGTTGGATCTCAAGGTTCATTGCGTTGCTGATCCAGCGGGGCCAGGACTTTCCTACTGAATGTTGGGGCCGACCGATGTATTAGTCATCATTCTTGTCCTCCCACTCGATTTTTGAAAGAGTTTATCGTCCCCAGAGGGTAGAAGGTCAGGGTGGGGGCCAATCCTGTACCATAGTTAATGTGAAGAAAGCTATCCGCAATATTTCTTCCGATGTAAAAAAGGCACTACACTCTATATGTACAGGCTGGTTCCCGCAGGTCACTGTACAGGCTAAATCAAATCAATCAATTCCGATTAGGCACTACGATCCTGAATGGAAGTAGAATGCGTGCCGCATTCCGAACGGGATTGATTAACAGCGAAGATGTACACTTCATCCTTCCAAAAGCGACTTCCTTGTCAAAATCGCCTTGTCTACATTTTCTCCCCGCCCACTCGTTACTGCAGGACGTATGATTTTCAGAAAATCTGCTCGATAGTTGTGATTGCAGAGAATCGAGGAAGAAAATCGGCGAAGAGCCACTGCATTCGACCGATGCAGCGAACGGGTTCGTCTTGCCAAAGAGCAAGGCGTATGGCGTCCTCCAAGTTTGGATATGAGCATTCAAAAGGTAAACTGTGAGACCAACTCAAAAGCTTTTCTAGCGCAACGTACGGCAGATCGCATGTAAGAGGTACCGTATCCGGTTACACTGGAGTCAGGTAGTGTGTGTGGGCCCGAACATACAAAAACATTATTCAAATTGGTGGCTGTTCTGTCGTTGTTTCAACTTCTTCGTCTCGTTTTTTTTCAATCTGAGTCAGAATTAGTGTGCTTATTACACGGTTTTCACTCCTGTTAGTGAAGTCGCTACAGATGGACTATGAGAGCGCATCTCATTGTATGTGCTCGCATATGTATGTGTGTCGCCAGATCTCATCTATGAAAAAAAATTGATGATTTTTTTCAGAAAACGGAAGAGGATGAAGGCGGCGCAGGTGAACCGAAGAGATCGTCGAAGAAAGGAGCTCACGTTCAATGGAGTACCCAGACCCCAGCTGTAGCAGAAGTTGACGAAACATTAGCGAGTCTACGGTAGGTGTCAAAACTACCGCATTAGTGTGTTATGACATTTCGGGTAACATCATGGTTAGAAATCAAGAATTCACAACGTTTATCGGCTTGCAGAGGATCGTTGAAACGGAGTGCTGAAAAATTTAAGAGTCAGTCAGGGTCAGCCGATGAATCAGCAGGCCAACACTTCCCCAGAAACCAACGACGGCGATCAAGTTCCCCTCAGAAGGTGTGTTAATAAGTTCCACTCATTATTCGGAAGTAATCACGTCATGGTAATCGTTTTAGGACCGCAAAGGCTCACTGCCGTCAGCACAGAGTCCATTACTGGGAGAGGCGTCGACAGCTTTTGGCGACGTGCCGTCAACTTCCAGAGCTGCACGGTCAGAACGGCGCAGCTCACGGGAAGCTGTTCACGGGAGCTCATCGAGAAGTCCGAACCGGCAAAACTCCGAGAAAACAGGGCGCCGAGCGCGATACTCTGAACCGAATGCTGCAATGACAACGAGGCGAGTTCAATCATGTGAAAAAGTGGGGATGTAAGTGTAGGTTGAAGCAATGTGAGATCACGAAAATTTATTGGATTGATCCTTAGGCGGTGATTGCGATTTTTATTCACTCAGAATCTTTAGCGGAGGTTGAAAAGTTTGTTTTTTCTTTTCTCAGCATCTAGATTTGCTACACTCGTCGCACTGTTAGTAATAAAGAACAAGGCCCGCAAAACAGGGACACTTAATCTTAGAGGCCTGTTATTTTCGAGAAGTACTGGGATAAGCTTGGCGGCATCTACTTGCGTGCTACGATAGATTCTTTCCTTGAGCGAATTAACGTCTCACAGTGAGTTTAAATGGAGTGTTAATAATGATGGAGCATATTATTCTTTACCATATTACCATCTGGCCCAATATCGCGCCATCAACTTTCTCACCAAAATAGATTAAAACTGCAACATGAACTTGTATGATACCCCCATCACGATCATGATATTCCTTTTTCAACATAAGGTCCGTTTAGCGTTCTGCTAAGGCCGAGCATGGGAGGGGAAGTGTTTTCTTACCGCCGGGTGTGTCCAGTCTCATCAGGATCCCAATGGTCAGAATACTCTGACCACTGGGATCCTGATGGGACTGGACACTTCCACTTTCGCGAGTTGCACCTTTTACTCAACACAAGGCGCATGGACATCGAATGGTTATCGCTTTATGCGTGAGGTTTGTCTTCCTCTGGTCAATGATCGCCTGTTCCCACACATGAAAAATGTTCTAGCCGAAACAAATCTTCTCACAGCAACAGAAAAGTCTTTTCATAAATCCTGTGGGACGTACTTAGGCGGTTTTATTAGGTTGTCCGGAAAGTTCTCAGCGTTTTGTGTTACTATTTTTTGTACATTCATTGCTGATTAAAAACTCATTCTCCCTTGCGTCTCAGTAGTACATCCTGAAGAGAATTTTTTGCGCTATCTGATGGTATAATTGCCGTTTCACCATTGCTTGATAACCCCTTTTCCCAAGACTTTTTGAAGCATGTCAAAAGAGCAACTTCGGACGATATTTTTCTTCAACTACAAATTGGGTCAATCCGCAGTCGAGACAGCTCGACAAATTAACCAGGTGTGGGGCCCAATAGTGTTGGAGAAAGCACCGTGCGACAATGGTTCGACAAATTTCGTTCTGGAGATTTCAGCCTTGAAGATGAACCTCGTAGCGGTCGAAAGCAATACCTGACGAGGATTTGAAGGCGTTTGTGGAGGACCCATCCCAAACAGTTCGAGAGATTGCAGAAAAGCTAGGCGTTGGCAAATCCACTGTTGCGATGGTCTGAAACGCATTGGGAAGGTGAAAAAAAACTCGACAAGTGGGTGCCCCACAATTTGAGTGACCGGCAGAAATTGGCACGTCTCGAGGTTTCTTCTTCACTGCTTTTGCGCAACAGAAACGACCCGTTTTTGGACCGAATTGTCACCTGTGATGAAAAGTGGATCATGTATGATAACAGGAGACGTTCCGGACAGTGGTTGGATGCCGACGAACCACCGAGGCAATTTCCAAAGCCGAATCCTCACGAAAAAAAGATTATGGTCACAGTGTGGTGGTCATCGGCTGGTGTGATCCACTATAACTTTTGTCACCAGGCCAAACCATCACAGCAGAGTCCTACTGTGAAGAAATCGACGAAATGTACCGAAAATTGCTGCAGCCAGCACTTGTCAACAGAAAGGGTCCGATTCTTTTGCATGACAACGCCCGCCCACACGTTTCACAAATCACTATCCAATTGGGGGTTGAAGTTCTACCTCACCCGCCATATTCTCCAGACCTTTCACCAACCGACTATCACCTTTTCAAACATTTTCAGAACTTCCTTGCTGGAAAATACTTCATCAATCAGGACCAGGCAAAAAAGCCTTCGTGGATTTCGTGATTCTCGACCACCCAGTTTTTTCCTTTGATGGGATTTATCGACTGGTGTCACATTGGCAAAAGTGTGCTGATTCGAATGGTGCTTATTTCGATTAAATCCGATGAGTATTAAGAAAGTTATGATCGTTTAAAGTGAAACACTCCAAAACGCTAAGAACTTTCCGGACAACCTAATAGAACGGAAGTCCTCGCTGATGACGCCCTTCCGCTACTTTTCGGAGTTCCTCGTTGCTATTTGGCTCCGAATTCGTTAACTCTTCAATCTGAAAGCCCTTTTGCCATCTATCTACCATGATACGCAAAAAGGGTTCATTGTCTAGAAAATATTAGTTGTTCGAAAAGTCCTGCCACACTTTGATTGAATGTTCTAGAAAAAAACCAAAAATCATTTTGGATGTTTTATCCCTGATTAGTGGAGACTGTCCTCTGGGGTTTCTGCACATGGGTATATCATGACTTTGTGGAAGTTTTCAAAGCTTAAAAGTCCCTCAGAGATCGAGGTACTTCGACCTATCCCATATTATGAGTTCCTGTAGGGCCACTCCGCCGTAGTCGAGGAAGCTGACACACTACGTTGTCTTGAGGAAGGATATCGCTTGCCATGGCAGAGGGTAGCTTTTGCATCAGCTTCCAGGCTGGACTTATTTAACTCGTAGTTGGGCAATGTATAGGTCGCCCATCAGCACAGAATGACGGCCCTTTACTCAAGCTTCTTGAGGCGCAGCCGAAGGTAACCACCAGTAAGTTGGCAACCTCTCTAGGCTCCACCTGACTGACAACTGCCATGCTTCTCCGCAATCTCGGTTATCGGAAAAAAATTTTTGTGAAGGATGCCTCATGAGTTGGACCAGTCTAACAAAGCGCATCGGATAGCCGTGACTGAGTCTTCTTTTCCTTGTACACAACGAAAGAACTTTCGTGAGATCTTGTGGTTGGTAGCGATGTTGGAGTCCTTAGCCAAAAACAGATATGCATGGAATAAAGATTTCAGTGTGATATCGGTGGGACTTCAAAGCGGTATCACTGGATACTAGCACCATTGTAAGGACCACAGTCCACCTTAATCGACTTTAAAATATGGATGACGTCACGCTTGAATTCATTCAGAAATACTCAATTTTTCTCTACTACTCGGCAATGCGAAGACAGCATGTGGCAAGCTATGCCAAAAGGTCATGGATTCCGATCAGAGAATGCGACCGTACCCAGCTTATTTAACAAAGTTAGCAGCCTCTAATTACCAACTCCCTTTGATCCCGTCGCATCTTTCAAAGCGAAAATTCCGAAAATCGACCTCAACTCCAGAGATGAGGTCCACCTCTTCTTTTTATCATAGTTGCCGTAGTAGTTCTATGAGAATGGAAATGAGAAGCTGTGCAAAAGAAAGGCACTAGATCCTAGTCATCACAACTGCGCGTTGCCTTGTAGATTCGGATCACCGCTGTTAGTCGACGGAAACTTAGTCACGAAAACTTGTTTCAAAGTGTCGCATTAGCGTGTCGAAAAATCGTGGGACACTCATTGTAAACTTGTTTGTCTCTTTCTTAATACTCTAGTATAAATAATAGTATAATATATAGTAGATATATTGATAGTATATATAGAGATAATAGATATAGAATATCATATAAAATATATAATATAAATATATTACTATACTATATATATATGTCTATATATAATAATATAAATATACTTTATATGTATCCTATATATATATATGATATTATATATAATATACTATATTATTTATATATATATGATAATTGATTATAAGCTATATATATGTCACCTTCATTGGCAACTTGTTGCCAATCACTACGCAATGTGTGGTTGCCCTGCTTCCAGAAGCCTCTTAGTTCTGTGCCCAGAAAGGCAGCTGGGTCATTTTTGAGGTACTATCAAAAATCGTATTTTTTACCAAGAAGATGGCCGCTGTGGGATTAGTTTAGATGGCGATCGGAAAGAGCTAAGTCAGGGCTACACGAAGACTGTGGTGGAATTCCCCAGCTAAGCTTCGGGATCTCGAGCAGTGTCGTTTTCCAAATGTGTGACCCTGAGCTGTGGTGGAGTAGGCAAACATTGCTCGGTTTTGGGACCAAATGGTAGAGATTTTCCACCCCACTTTGCAGTTGATTACAATAGGGCTCCCTGGTTACCATAGCGTTGGAAGGAAGGAATTCCGTTTCGAGAGCGGAGAAAGGTACCCCACCACATACACAGCCTCACCGCCCTACTGGATTGATAGGATTGCGCGATCGGTTCTGCCCTTTCTGGGGGATCTAGCCGCTGGCGCTCCCAGGAGTGATTCACCTAGAGGCACCCACTCCATATCCAGTTACAGTGCTGTTCAACCAGCCCGTACAGCGGAAGCGGGAGAGAAGTTGTAGACAGTACCCACATGTGCTCCCCTTGGAGTACTGGTCAACTCATGAGAAAAATTTTGACCGAACTTCAGAACTTTTCTAAGGGAGCTCTCATTTGTGCTTTGGGACCAGTCAAGTGTAAGGACTAGATAGCAAGTTGATTTGTACGTATTGGTTTTAATCAAGGAACACAGTAGGTCCAAATCAGGTGGCCTCCTTGGACGAAGTTTTTCACCCGGATAGAAGTCACTAAAGCAGAAGCAATTGAGCCATTCCAAAGCCGTACTGTGGAAGCTAACATCAAGATCTAAATAAGGGAAATGCCGCTTATGGCTCCAACCACGTTGTGGCTTGGTAGAGATTCATATAGCGAAGTGTGTCGAAAATGATGAAT